AAAAAAAAAAAAAATGCGTCCAAACAGGATCTGAATGATGAAATAGGAATTGCCACATTTAAAAAAAAAAAAAAATTAAAATTAAATAAATAAAATAGGCTAAAACCCAGCTGCTCAGAACCTCCCGAAAATAACAGCTCGGCTAAGGTAGCGATGGGCTTTCTTCTGCATGTTGCAGAAAGCAAAGCGAGCCACGTTGTCCAAAAGAAGCCTAGAAAATCCAGACTCTACGTGACCTGACTTACTTATTTCACAGGAAACGGGAGGAGGGGCGGGAGGAGAGGGGGAAAGAAAAAAAAACCCCACCAATCATTCATGCTACCGTAGTTACACCACGCCATAGACTGGAGTAGTTCACTGTGAAAAAAAATTATTAAAAAAAAAAATATATATATATATCAAGCTGAAATAAGCCATCACCGGTTTGAGAAATAAAAGGTAAGAAGAGAAGATGTTAACGCAATCACGCCGGGGGAGCCCTCGACCTCCCTCTTATTTTTTAATTTTTTTTTTTTTTTTTCCATTTTGCCTGAATTAGAGCATCGTTCGAGAAGGGTGGGAAGGATTGCACAAAAAAAAAAAAAAAAAAAACAAACCCCAAAAAAACCCACAAACAACCCAACCGAGCAACCCCAAAAAAAAATCAAAACCCAACTCACCGGGGTTGTTGGCTTCCCCTTCGAGGATGTGGAGCTCGGTGCAGTCGGCCAGGGAATGCTCCAGGCAGAGCTGGAGGAATCGTGCCTGGGTCCTGCTGAGCCGTTTGAGGAGGGAGAGCAGCGCAACAGTCTGCTCACACTCGTTCCAGCCCTTGAACCAACCGGCCAAGACGCCCACCTGGTCTCGAAACATCATGGTGAGCCCCGGCGGCCGGAGGGGACACCTCTGCCAGGGGAGAAAATAAATAACAAGGTGGGGGGGGGGACGATGATGATGGTGGTGGTGGTTGTGGTGGTGGGGAAGCCTCCCCTTGAACCCCCGACTCCGCTTCCTCCTTGGTAATCAAAAAAAGGGTGGGTTTTTGTTTTGGACGCAGCTTTCGGCCTGGGGTTGGGTTGGGTTTTGCTCCCTCTCTTCTGGCCTTGGGTGCAGTGTTGGGGAGTCCCCGACGGCCACACACACGGGGAGGGAGGGAGGGATGGATGGAAGTTGGGGGGGCGGTAAGGAGGGGAGGCAAAAAAATAATAAAATTTAAAAAAAAAAAA